CCAATGGTCCAGAGCATTCTGTGCAGGAAGGTGGGGGTGGGGGGGGAGGGAGAATGAAAATAAAGGAAGAAAATAAGAACTTTGGAAACTGAGACCACAGATCCCTGATATCACCATTTTGAGGATGGAAGATATAAACCAGGTCCCAAAGGGGGGGGGGGATAGCTGAGATAGTGATTTGAGTGGTACCTTCCAGAATTATGAGTAAGCTTTATGGGTTTTCATTGCAAAGCAAACATTAATAATAATAATAATAATAATAATAATAATAATAATAATAATTAAAAATAACAACAACAAAGTATAAATGCAAAATTCTGCTTAGAGTTTGTACAGTATGCTTAGAAAGGTTTCCTGTTGTCTTCCATTACATAAAAGGCATAGCATGCACACAGAGGCTTGTGTCTTAAACTGAGTTCCCTTATAAAGTCATTTCATTATATATTACATTATATAATATTGTGTGTATGCATATGTGGGTATACATATGTGTGTGTGTATATGTATATAGATATTCCTGATATTTTATTTTATTTTTGCACTGGTCCTCGGAATACTATTCATAGAAATCAGAATGCAATCCTAGATACTTTGTAATACAAGCTATAGTAAAGATGTAGTAAATAACAGTAAAGTAAAGTAGCCTGCTTTGCACAGTAACTAGGAACTAACTGTAAAAGCAAAAGTTTCCCATGCATTTTTGCCTGAGACAGGTCCTAGAAATAACTTTTTATTATGCTATTCTTATCCTTTCTTGGATTTGTATATATTACAGAGAATATGAGGTCAGGCCTCCTTTTTATTGTTTTTAAAACATCAGTTTTGATTAAAGACTTGTGGAAAAGATATTTATTCCCTGGAATAATATACACTTTTTTTTTTCAGTATGAATGATTTCTTGCTGAATTTATGGGTTAATAGAGGTTAAGCTAAAAGCCACCCAAATGTTGGTCAGAACTGTTAAATCCAACTTTTCCAAAACAATTATCAATTAAATTAGCAGATAAGGACTTTACAGTCACATTGTCTGATATCTGAAGGCAGCAGTTTACGTGGACTGCTGGCTGCACTTATAAATTAAATCCATAGACCAGTTTTGATCAAATATTTGGACAAAAATAATCTATAGATCTATTTAAATGAATTAAGAAAACTGATTTCAGTCTAATTAATTTTGCTTAAACTGATTCAGTTGTAGATTAATCCAGGTAATCAACGTTCCCCCTAGATTTAGAAGATGCCTTCTAATACTTGACAATATAATACTCTAGATCCAGTAGTAATCTTGTAGATGATGTACTTATTGAAATCTGACAAATGACTATTTTTCTAATTGGTACAAAAGCAATATGATTTCTTGAAAATAAGGATGTGCCAAAAGAGGTTCTGAGTATGCCCAGAAAAATGGAAATCTCAGAACATCCCATTGTCCTCATGAAAAACTTATATACAGGTCAGGAAGCCACAGTACAGACAGAACATGGTGAAACAGATTGATGCCAGGTTGGCAAAGGAGTGCAACAAGGCTGTATACTCTCCTATTTTTATTCAACCTACAGTATATGCTGAATATATATTAAGGGACGCTGGATTGGAAGAAAATGTATGTGGTGTTAAAATTGGAGGAAGAAACATCAATAACCTGCGCTATGCTGATGACACTACTCTGATAGCTGAAAATGCAGAGGATCTCCAGCCCTATTACCAAAAGTCAAAGAGCACAATGAAAAAATGGGACTAAAATTAAAAATAAAGAAGACCAAACTAATGACAACAGATAGAAGAAACAGCCTTAGAATTGGCAATGAAGATATCAAAGTGGTGGATAGCTTCTGCCTTTTAGGATCAACCATCAATAATAAAGGAACAAGCAGTCAAAAAATATGCCACAGACTAGCACTTGGTAGACCAGCCATGAAGGTCTTGGAAAAGATATTCAAATGCTGTGATATGTCTATACCTACAAAGATGAGAATCATGCAAACCATGGTATGCCCTATGACACTCTATAAAAGTGAAAGTTGGACTTTAAAGAAGCAGGATAGGAAGAGTATTGATGCCTTTGATTTTGGTGTTGGAGAAGACTCCTGAGAATACCATGGACAGCCAAGAAAACAAAGTGATGGATCATTGAACAAATCAACCCAGAGTTCTGATTTGAGGCACAAATGACCAGACTCAAATTAGCCTACTTTGGACACATTATGCAAAGACCTAGCTCTCTGGAAAAGGCTCTAATGCTGAGAAAGGTGAAAGGAAAGAGGAAGAGCAGCAGCAAGGTGGATGGACTCAGTTACAGTGGCGAGACTGCACCACTGGGAGACCTCAAAGAACAGGTTAAAGATAGATCATCATGGAGAAAATATATCTATGTGGTCACTAGGAGTCAAAAACAACTTGATGGTGCATCAATCAATTTATCAAAAGAGGTTGTTTTGTTGTTAACAGTGGCATCACAGTTTAAATGCATTACTTTCTTTTATCCTGTTAGCAGCGTTTGCTAAGACATCAGGAGTTCAACAGTTTTTTAAATGGGAAGCATATCAAAAGCAAATCTGCTTGAGACGTGTGGTTTTCTTCTCCCAATAACTCATTTTCTGAAATTAGGTAACTCTGGCTGTGCTTAGTATAGCATGATATTCGGAATGCAAACTGACAGTAGATTATAGATTACCCCCAGTACTACAGTGTTTAATACTGATTTATGCATAAACCTATCAGTGTGCAATTAAATGCAGAGACATTCAGATTCATTTGCAGTTCTTGTGTTTAGAATTAGGGAAAAATAAAGCGCCATCCATATGAAAGATCATTAAAGGTGGCCTGGAATGAGCATTTCAAAAGTCTGTTTGGTTCAGATTATATCCACATATGAAACATAAATTCAGTGGGTTATTATTGGTCTTTTTCTATCCACAGCATAAGGTCTCTTCTCTGCAAACAACCAGAATAAACAAGAATGCTTAAAAGCATTGGAAGATTCCTTACATTAGGTTTGAACAAGAATGTTATTCAAACTGCCTCAGTATTATCTTACTATAAAATTATATGATTATGACTCTAGGAACAATTTTAGAGAACTATCTGTTTTACTGACAGTCCTGTAAAACAGTTGACAGCCATGAATTACTGGTCTGACTTCAGTTCTGCACACATTCAGAGTTAATTGATTGAAGATCCTACCCCTTTAAACTTCATGAAATAGCACATTTTCCTTTTCTATGACTAGATGCATTTATTGAAAGCTCAGAAAGCATCTTGCCTATATTCCAGGTACATGTTTATGCTCACAGAAGATAATTGCATACCTTTGAACTTTGTCCTGAGGGTACTCTACTGTAAACCAAGGATTTGTACTGCAACATTTGGTTGAAAAATGCATCACTAAATCCAGAACAATCCTAAATGCAGCCTTTGTTGATTTCAAAATTGCATTTTATGCCATTTCTAGAGTAAAACTAGGGGTTAAACTTAACAACTCTACAATTCAAAGGTACTTATTATTACTCATTTGCAATTTACAAATTAGGTTATTTACTGTAACACTTAACTGCAATCTTGAGAATTAGGTATTACAGTGAAAGTCTGCTTTCTAGGTGTGTTCTAATCCCAAAGGAGTATTGCAAGGCTGTATCTTATCACTGCTACTTTTTAACTTCTATGTTAATTCACTGATGAGGCATCTTACTTTGGAATACACATTTCTAAATTTGCTAAGAGCAATAGCTTATTTTACTTTATGCAGATGATGTTCTGATACTAGTATAGTCTTCAGTCGCTTCAGGACAGCCTTGAAGATTCTTAAGTAATTAACTTGTAATTTATTATTATAAGACCAAAATTATGGTTGTTGCTACAAGACCTAAGGCCAATCAGTTGTAATGGTATTGAATTGGCCAAGTGCTTTAAGTACTTAAGTTTGGTTTTTCAGCTCTTAGGACAAGTAAAAAATAAAAATAAAAAAATAAAAAACAATGGAGCTGGATGACCCAGCAACCTTGACTGCCCAAAGAACTAGGACAGTTACCCTGAGATTCTTTTATGGGAAAGGAAACAAGATTTTCAGCCTGGCCTATAACTTATTTGTGATCAAAATACTGGCCCTAATTCCTATATAGAACTCAATTAGGCCCAGATACAAACTCAACTTTGCCTCATTAGTACACATACAATTCAAATTTCTAAGAACCTTGCTACAAGACGTGCTTAATGCTGTTCTTTGTCTGGAAATGGGGCAACTGACAGAAGAGTGTAGCATGTCATGCTCAAGTATTAGCCAATACTAAAACATTGTCAATGAGATCTAGCCCTTTCTATATTTGCTGATGATTTCCAGTCTGCTTGGAAATTGACAGTTCATAAAAAAAATGCTGTCATGTGGTTTCACAGCAAAGTTTTCTTAACAATGCCCTATCGGCTAAGGAGCTTCTTATGCAACTCATCACAGGCTTGGATCAGCAAATGCCCCTTAGATTATCAAACATAGAGACCAAGACTCTTGTTCACTAAGCCAAACTGCTATTTTAAGTTCCTGGCTTTGGCCAGATATTGGAAAGCACCCTTTAAGGGCTATACTAATATTCTTCCAACCACTCTGCTAGAGGGAAAATTCAATAATATAACTTATAATGAACATGTTTGCCTCTGTACTCAGGAATAGTTGAAACCATTGGACATGTCCTTTCATACAGCTCCTTTTATAGATATTTTTGTGTGGAACTCAAAAGCTTATTATACTTCTCTCCTTTTAGCAGACAAACACCATGATATTACCTACAAAATAGTCAATAGTTATGTTTGTGCTTGTAAAATCTGTTTGCATAATCTAAAGGAAACTCTGTTCTA